TACATATGTGGCGGAACCTGGGCCTTTTGTTGAAGAATTGTCACCGGACGACGCTTTTATGTCGTCGGGCGACGCGTATTGACCATATTTTTATTTATATTTCATTTTCATTTTCATTTTATTTTGTTTGGTTATGGTTTTGGGTGTGGTTTTTGATCTCCCAACTCCATCAACCTCATTTTTATAGTGGATTAACTTAGATAACAACTATGGAGCTTGTGTACAGATGATTCAGGATGGATTGTTCTTTGATCGATGCTGACAAATCGGGATATTTATGGTTCATTTCCCTTCTTCTTGTGTATTCTCTTTTAGTTGGGTTTGTATATGTATTTACTTTGAACTCATGTATATTTGTCTCCCATGGCGTTACATAAAACTAGTTTTACAAGTCTTTGTCGATTGTTGTCCTGTATTTTGTCTTTGTGCTAGGTGTTTGAGTTGCTATAGACATATACTGCTTGAACTCTTATTTAGGATGATTATCTAATAATGTATGGATTATAGAGATAGATTTAGCGCTATTATTCACTTGGTGTTGTGATTAATTCCTCTTGTGTTGGTTGTGTTGAGTGAGAGATTGTTAACGTGAGTAGTACGGTTAACTTCTGTGTTGTTAAGATTGGTTGAGAGATTGCTGCTGACATGATACAGTGGGTGTAGTGTTTGACACGTGATGACTCTGAAGATGATTGTGTGTTGAGTATAACTGGTCGATAGATTTAAGTTTGTGAGGAGTGAAATATATGCATGCTTGATAAGTTGTTCCTTGGAAGAATGAATTTATTTTCTGTTAATAACTTTAAATTCCCACATTTACTTTCAACCCATTTTTACCCCTAAACTCATTAACGAATGATTTGTCGAATAGAGAATCAATAACAAATCTCTATGGACACTATACTATATAACCTAAATATCACCCGGTAAAATAATACTTTACTTTTTGCATGTCGCTATGTTGCAACAACAAAATAGTGTCGTTGTCAGGGATTGGTATATTGTTTCGTATCGCAATGATTCCTTTATTTTTGTGTTTTCTAATCAATGTATATGTTGTATAAAAATTGTGCATGAATTGTTTATGTTTACTTGTGAATTTATTTGTTTATGTCTACCACACTTGTACATGTTTTCTATACTTATGAATTTGTTATATCATTGTTTGTTTTCTTTCACGTTTACTTGTGTGTTGGTTAGGAATAACCGGGTGGAAGCAACGTTCTTAAATAATAGACGTCAAGCTTAAGACGTAAAACTAGCATGTTTTTATTGTTTTTCATTATGTTAGTTTAGGTGGTTGAATGTAATTGTCTAAACAAATTTAACTCAAACTAGTTCTTAAACTTCATATCTTCAATTTTAAATATGTTTAAACAATTTAATTCGGTCTTTTAGTATGTGTATATTATTTGTGTTCATTTTTGTGTTTGTCTTTGAGGTTGTTGTGAATAGCTTGATAATATTGAGGTGATTTGTCAAGTTTGATCGCGTCGACTTGCGAATGCGTGGTAATGATTTTGTTAAGATTTTGTACATGTTCGAGATATGTGTTTATCGCTTTCTATACTTTATCATATTTATGATAATTAGACTTTTTACAATTTTTATGTCATTCATTCTTTTATATACTTGTTCATTTGTGAATCACTTTAGTTCCCACCCTTTTTTTGAGGTAGCTTTCCGTTATTCACATATGCTGGAGACCACAATTCTTATTTTAACTGGATTTTATTACGCTTAATCTTTTGTTTTGTGTTGATTGTATGAATGCAAGAAAAAGATCAAGGCATTTTGTTTTATTTTGAGCACAACTACCTAGCAAAATAGTCAATTTACCTTGTGAGTGTGTGATCATTAGTATCCTCTTTTGAGCCTTTTTGTCAATGTCCATGTTATTTTTGAACTGGATCCTTATCTATGAGTGTTTGGTTTTCCTTTTCGAATGTACAATGACTCTTTGTTTTCTTGAATCCTTAACTATGATTTATAGTGAATTTGTCATGCCTTAGAAAGTAGTTAGTATTCATATGATGATGATGGTTAAATTTGAAAAAGCTTTGAAAAAGAAAAACAAAAAGAGTATGGAATAATGTTGTGATAATAAGTGATGTGTGTTGGTTTGAAATTTGGAATGAAGAAGAAGTGTGATTGAAATTGTGTTGCTTGAGTCTTCGTGAGTTGATCACTCCCTTAGGTTAATGCAAGTTTTTGTTTCGATTAGATTTAGGACTTATCCCTTGTTTGTTTATCCGACCACATTACAACTTTGAAAAGTCCTTGTGATTCTTGCATTTATGTCTTCAACATGAATTTTTGGATGATTGTATATTTTAATCTTTTGTTTGCAAGGTTGTTGGATGAGTGAAAATACCTCATTTTTGTGTGTTTGTCATCTACTGATGATTGTTTTTGCTATGTGTGACTCATTTGTGAACTAGTGTTGTTTTATAATGTTTGGCATGATTTTTATATTTAGCATTTGTTTCGTGTTTATGTTATAGTCGTAGTTTAGTGGTAAGTGTTTACTTTGTGTGTATTGTTTTTCATTTGAACCACTGCATTTGTTTTCCGTTTTCAAAACTTGTTGATTCGTGATTCTTTGGTTGACCGTTTTTGTTTCTTCAAGTTGTTTGTTTCTTGTTTGAGGACAAACAAGTTCGAGTTGGGGATAGTTTGATAAGTGCAAATTATAGTTAGTTTTGTATATACTTTTTGTTGTACGTATCGACTCTTTGTTGTTAATATCAGTTGAATAACTCAACTTTGTGTATAAATACGTTTAGTTTGTGTATAATTCATTTTTGTGTATAAAGTGTATCGTTTGATAGTTTTATATTTATTTTGTAGGTATGTGAGAATTGTTGGAGCAAGAGGAATAAAAACTCCAAGATGCATTGTTTGATCAATAAAGGATAAAGGCCAAGAAGAGAGAGTCATTGAAGTTGTGCAGAGAAAGTAACAAAAGTTACTGTTATGGTGTGCCTCATCGAGTGACGCTTAGGAGGGGAGCTTGCCCTTCTGCCTCGTCGGACGATAGTGAAGCGAGAGGAAAAGACGATTTTTCCAGTAGCTTCTGCTTGAGCCTCGCATTGTGGTCGTCGTGCGAGTTTTGGTTGTGTCGCCCGACAAAGCTTCCCTTCGTCGAGCGAGGGTAGATATTTGAGATCAGTTGCATACGTGGCAAAACCTGGGCCTTGTGTTGAGGAACTGTCACCGGGCGGAGCTTTTACGCCGTCGGGTGACGCGTGCGGACCCGATTTTTCTTTATATTTCATTTTTATTTCATTTTGTTTTATCATGGTTTTGGTTGTGGTTTTTGATCTTCCAACTCTATCAACCTTATTTTTGTAGTGGACTAGCTTAGATAACAACTATGGAGCTTGCATATAAATGATCCGGGGTGGATTGCTCTTCGATCGGCGCTGATAAACCGGGAGATTTGTGGTTAATTTCTCTTCTTCTTGTGTATTCTCTTTTAGTTGGGTTTGTATATGTATTTACTTTGAGCTCATGTATATTTGTCGCCCATGACATTATATAAAACTTGCTTTACAAATCTTTATCGATTGTTGTCTTGGACTTTTGCTATGTGCTAGGTGTTTGAGTTGCTATAGACATATACTGCTTGAACTCTTATTTAGGATGATTGTCTAATAGTTAATGGATTCTAGAGATAGATTTAGCGCTATTATTCACTTGAGTGTCTGTGATTAATGCCTCTGTGTTGGTTGTGTTGAGTGAGAGATCTTTAACGCGAGTAGCACGGTTGACTCTTGTGTTGTTAAAGTTGGTTGAGAGATCGCTGCTGAGATGGTATAGTGAGTGTAATATTTGACACGTGATCATATTGACGAGTCTTGTAGGTTGAGTATAACTGATCGATAGGTTTAAGTTTGTGAGGAGTGAATTATATGCATGTTTGATAAATTATTCCTTGGAAGAATGAATTTTTTTTCAGTTAATAACTTTAAATTCTCACATTTACTTCCAACACATTTTTACCCTCAAACTCATTAACGAATAATTTATCGAACGACGACTCAATAACCAATCTATATGAACACAATACGAAATAATCTAAATATCACCCGATAAAATAATACTTTACTTTTTGCTTGCCGCTACGCCGCAACAACCGTTATCATATCCAAAGCCTACAATAATTCGTAGCCATAATGGCACAAACTTGAGGTCATTTGGAACATTGGCGTTGATTGTGAGAACTTGTGAGAACTTGAAGTTAGCACGGTGTCTCTTAGTCTCGACTAGGTGGCAAGTGTGTTTTTAAAGAACAAGGTCATGAAGATTCTCACATTAAAAAACAAACAATCGACTGGAACACTTTTCAATAATAAAAAATAAAAATAAAAAGACAACTTACTTCACCATTTCCGTTGGTTTTAGATTTACACTTATTTTCAACTTAAGGAACAAATACAGAATTTAAAAAATGTCAACAAATTTAAATCATAAAGTTGGTAGTCAGATTATGTTTTGTTTTTATCTTTCCAAACAAATTTTTTTAAAGAAATAGAGACAATCTTAAAGTCTTAACAATAAAGTGGGAGAGTTAAGGAGGTGAGATTGAGTTCTAACAAGATTATAAGAGATATGAACTTGGTAAGATGACCCATCCTTGTTTGGAACTATGAACTTGTTGGGAGCATGTTTACTCAGTGCTCAACTGAGTTTCAGTTTACCCTCTGAGTAAGCAGCCTCTTCAGCACTTTTGCCACAGTTCATCAGAAGTTAAAAAATGTAGACAAAATAATTGAAGTAAAGCTCAACTTCGTGGTTAATATTAAATTAGGAATATCAGTTCATAGTCCTCAAGCTGAAGTACATTAGAGATTCAAATCAACTTGTGCTTTCGCAAAAAAATATCTAGCCTTCCATCCATTAGTCAAACCAGCCATAAACCATAACTGAAAGGAAAAAAGCAAAAGAAAAAATAGGAAGGAAGCAATAAGTGATGCAACAGTTGCCAACACTCATTTTCATAAGCCCTCAGGTGTGGGAAGACCCTTCACTTGCATCTGCTTGTACATCCATTGCCAATTCTCTAATGTTACCTCACCACCAAGAGATCGGATGACAGATCCACCACTACATGTGCCTACTTTACAGCATTCTTCTAGTGACAAACCCTTAACTACTCCGTACAAAAATCCACTTGCAAAAAGGTCTCCTGCTCCTGTAGCATCAGTTGCCTTTGATTCTCCTATCGCCGAGACACGTATCATCTGACAAGTAAAAAGATTGGTTTATGATTACTTACAAGTGATAAGTCAAGATTACCTCTGAACGCAAGTTGAAATGATGGCCGGGTGAAAAGAAAGTAAAACTACTGAACTTTTCCCTAATGGTTTTGGACCACAATGTGCTTAAACTACATTAATCATGTCAAAAGCATACAGCTTATCTTTACTGATAAGAATGATGAAAATTAAGGGATGCTAGATGAAAGATCAGACAGAATGCAGAATGGCTCCGTGTACACCCTTTATTAAGGAGGCACAACTTCAAACCAAACAGCTAATTTCCTACAAGGTGAAATTAGCTAAGCTCTGTCTAGCTAACTATTGTGTTCTGTAGTCAATAAACCAAACTGCACACATTCCCAAAGACGGAAAAGTAATTGTAGAAGAAACTGAGTACAAAATATCATACAGAAGGATGGAAAAAAATTAACAAACCTCCTTCCCATGTCTAGCAATGCATCCATTAGATCCCAATGTTACCACAGCCCATTCGCAGTATTTGGCAAGAAATTCTACGGCGGCTATTGGATCAGCATTCTGTTCGCCCCTAAAACTCGTCACAAAGTAAATTTATATTAATTAAAAGAAAAGTACAGAATACACAAAATGAAATAAAGGCAGTTAATAACTTGGAAACTGAATAAATTCTATCTTCATAATATGATATCTTGATATAAAGCAAGGTTGACAATGACTCCTATGGATGACAACCACCTTAAAAGTTCTGTTGCCTCATCCTCATTGGCAAAGCAGAGATCTATGTTTCCAGATTCCAGCAACTTCAGAAGTGGTAATTTAAAGTTCCTAACCATCTTGCCAAAATAAAGAGACCAAAATGAGTGAGAAATGAAATGCTTACATAAATTACTTTTTAAAAATGAAATTTGCATTTGTATTAAATACTTAGATTTATATTGGTGGGGCACCTAGTGCACTATCATATATTCATAAGCGAGATTTTATAGAGATGCATATAATCTTGTTAGGTAAATGACAACAATAAATCAAGGATGTTCAGTAATTGTTCGTGTGGACTAGATGATTAGTGATTATACTGATTTAGTAACTCTTTCTTTTCCTTGTTGAGTAAAAGTATTACAAATGAAAACTCAGTTTATAAACTTCGCAAGCTCAGGTGGGAGAAAAATAAAAATGAAAACTCAGTTTATAAACTTCGCAAGCTCAGGTGGGAGAAAAATAAAAATAAAAACTAGAAAGGAAATGAATTTTCTTATCATCAAACTTTTGTACCCGATCTGTTAAAAAGAACTTATGGGGAGGGGAAGTTCTGAGTAGTAGCGTAAATAGAATACCTCAAAACTGGCCAAGTCCAAGGAAACAAGAAGACCTTCCTGTTTGGCCAAATCAATGGCCGCTTGAATAACTTCCAAATTGAGTACCGCATATCTCAACACCAACCACTGAAATGTAAATATATCAACAATTAAGTTCAAAGAGAACCCTCGGATGATATATTATAAGTAGTAGACGTGGTAGACCTAGATGAAAGAATAGATCGAAGAGCAACTTTTTAGTATGTATGCAAGATAAATATATGGCCAATGCACCTTCTTTTCATTTTATGGTACATTATAGTGGAATAAATATGCAAAAATAATAAACAAAGGGTGCTTGAATCTAATGATTTAAGTTAACACTAAAAGTTTCACAATATATAAATTGATAAGAAAGTGAACCTTGGAGCCTTTGAAATCCTCTTTCGTCAACTCTTGAGCCTGCCGAGCAAAGAAGAGAAAGTATAAATCAAAAACGAAAACTTGACAAAAATTAAACCCTAACCACAAAGCATACACAAATGATGTTTGACATGAGACAATACCTGTACTTTGACAGCATTTGAGAGACAAGGCCGCATTGTTCGATTAGCCAATTCATCTACCAAGCAAACACACTGGTAGAATGACAAGTTAATATTAGAAACAAGTATTTGCCATTCGCAAAAGTTGTTATTAGGCTCTGATTGGATTAACAGTTTAATTAAACCCTTATATCATAAACACATATCATAAACGTACTTATGTATGTATAACCTATGTATGTATAACCTATGTTATAAGTTATTTCCATAAGCTCCGAAAGACTCTCACAACAACAAAATCCGTAGATAAGTTTAAATAAGTGAATCCAAATACTCATATTGACCCGAGAAGTGATAATCAACCTGTGCAGTATGTCCTTTCTTCTTCCGGAGTCTAGAAAGATCAACACCATGAGACGACATATTATTAACAAACAATTGCCCTTGTTCATCATCTCCACAAGCTCCAATAATTCCACTAGAAATTCCAAAACCACTACTAAGACCGCGAATGGTATTAGCAACACTACCACCAGCCATAGTTTTCATCCTAGAAGAACTCGAATCATCATTAGCCTCATCACGAAGACTAGTTTCAACTTCCTTGAGTATATCTTCAAGCTCTTCAATCGCAACCTAAACAAAAACAAATTCAACAAACTGAACAAATTGTAATAAAATAATTGAACAGAATAAAAGAATGCACAAGAAGCGACAATACGGACGGGAATGGAGCCACCGCGTTCGCCGGGAATCCGATCGAGCAAGGAGCAATCGACACGAGCGACGCTGTCAACGAGTGCGGATGGTTGAAGACCTAGAATGAAAGGTACATGATCGTTTTGCTTCGGGCAAAAGCTTTCGGCAACCATCGCTGATTGAATGAGAAGCAGAAAATGAAGATGGATCTTGTGTTATCTATAGTGGTGCAGAAGATGAATGCGCCGCTCCGATCCCGAATTTTGCGCCATTCAATTTCAGATTCTTTATTGTAAAAGGCACCACCACGCTTAAACCCTTGTTTTTAAGCATTTATCCTCCATCCAGAACGGAGCAGATTCGCAAATATAATTTTATCAACTTTTTCTGTCTTCTTTTGTGTCACTGTGCCCTCCACCAGGCCGAAAGATGAACTGAATTATTAAATTTAAATAATATTAAAATCTAAATTAAGACAGGCTTTTGAAAAATATACCTTTTTTAATTGAATTATTTGTCTTTTCTATGTAAGACATCCAATCACGGGAGTGGATTCTCTCTATTCACTTTACCCTTTAGTGAAATCAAGACCATGCATATAAATAATTTAAAGAGCAGGTGTGGCAAATATATAAAAGTATTAAAATTGATTGAACTAGAAAAGAAAAAAAAATTTAAAATAATTATTTTTTTCAAATAACTATATTTTCAAAAAAATTATTAAAGTAACCATTTTTCAAATAAAAACAATTCGTCACACAGAAGAAGCGTCATTCTGTGTGACGCATGCATACAAAATAAAAAAGAGGCACTACACTTATACTGTGTGACTTGTTCTCATGTGTAATGTCATGCAGTGTGGCGCATGCATGCATTATTAGAGAGAATGTGTCACCTTGTGTGGCTTGACAGTTGTATATGATTTTCTATAAATATAACTATTCATCCTCTTCATTTTTTCACACTATTTCTCACATCACTCTTAGAAAATGTCTTCCACTCCCTTGTCAAGGTTTCCACTGATCAAAAGAGATGCACATGTTATTGTTTCAGCGACAAATCCTCCGATGAAGATCAAACTCAGGAACACGCGAACATTCGAGTATTTTCAGAGACACTTGATTTGTTTGTTGAAAGGAGACATTCTCGAAGGTGGACAAATCAGAAAAATTGAAAGATAAATTATAGTGAGGGGCAAAAATAGAGTAAGTCGATCATGGAAAAAGGTGAGATGCGACGCTGATTTTATGATAATGATGCTTGGACCAGACGATATTGTGTTGATGGTTTTTATCTCTTAGATATTATGATGTATTTAGTTGTTTTGTCTACTTATCATATTGTTGTGTTGTTGTCCTGAGTTTTTATCTCTTAGATATTATGATGTGTTTAGTTATTTTGTCTGCTTATCATGTTGTTGTGTTGTTGTCCTGAGTTTTTCGTGTTGTAATTTTTTGGGTCATTATGTGAAGGTTGTTGTAATCGAATGATAAATTGAACACGAAATGAAAACCCGAATTTAAATTGAAATTTCTTGCTTACAACAAATTAATTACTCCAAAAGTTTGCTATAAGAAAATTAGGTTGTAGAGCTAGACCCAATATTCGGACAATTTTTTTGATTGTGTCCGAGAAGATGACATGTACTGCATAATCTTATCATTTTATTGGTCGTATCCATTTCAGTTCTAATACGAGTGCTATTGGGGCGCCCCTTTTTCTTCTGTCGCATTTGTTCATTGTGCCAAACAATGTTCCCTTGACAAGCAGGCCAATAATTCTCATTTTCCAACACGGAGAAGGTACTGATGTACACACTTAAAACGCTATTTACTGTATAAACGGGGGATATATGTTGTATTGGGTCCAAGCGAACATGCGAACATGCCGCTATGACATGAGAGCAAGGCATGCGAAATGCTTGAAACTTTTTGTATCACATCAACCTCTATCTAGTTCGACCCGATAATATCCCCTTGGTCTCCCCTCATTGTGATCCATTGTCTCTTGCACATTAAACCAACCTTTAATACGGTCAAACACGATGACACTATGGGTGTTTGCTTTGGCAGCCTCCTCGTTAAATGATTTCATGGTGCATTCACTGAACAACTTCCCTGATTGTAACATTGTCCCTCCATTTTGAACTTCTTGTGTCGAACAATGACACCATCCCAAAATATGTTGCTCTAACCAAAGCAGTAATTGGTAGATTTTGGATGCCTTTGAAGATAGAGTTTAATGATTCCACCAAATTTATTGTCATGTGACCCCATCGTTGACCATTGTCAAATTCCCGAGTCCACTTCTCCACTGGAATGTTATCGATCCACCTTAATGCTTCTGAGTTTGTCAACCGAATTTCATCGTGATAGTGTCGGAATGATGGTTCTGTTAAGGCATATCCTGCATTAACAACTTTCTTTCAAAGTGTCTTGTCTTTGATATGGAACAAGAAGTTTTATGTGATATGTCTAACGCAATAAACATGTGTTGAAGGGGGATTCTTCCAACCGTTACCAGGATTATTATATGCACTCACAATCGATGAATGTCTGTCTAAAATCTAACAAAGGTTGGATTGAGGAGCAACGTGTAATCAGAGATTCTTCATAAAGAAATTTCATGCACCACCTATCTCACCTTTAACTAGAGCGAAGGCAATCGAAAAAACATTATCATTGTCATCTTGTGCCACTGCCATGAGTAGTGTTCCTTTATACTTTACGTATAACCAAGTTCCATCAATATGCATAATAGGTTTGCAAAATGCAAAACCTTTAACGTATGGTTCATACGCCCAGAACAATCGATGAAATATTCCATTTTCACTGACACGAGTTCTGTCTAGGGTAAATGTCGAGAGTGTCTCTAAAATTACCACAGTTCCCGGAGCATAATATTTGAGTGCCACCAAAAACCTTAGAAGTTATTTGTACGATTCCTCCCAATTATCGTACACAAGTTCAACTGCCTTAGTCCTCGCGATCCTCCCTTCTTGTAAGAGGGAGTATAATTGAATCTTGTAACGATATGAGAAATAGTTGTACTCACCTTTAATGATGGATCTTTTCTAATAAGAGGCAAGATTTCTTGACATATTAGTTTAGAACTAAGTTTTTGATGATCCTGTGTCGAGACAGTGGTGATGCAAGTGTGGAGTGGATCAATGGTACATATTTCCCATGAATCACTTCTCTTCTTGTAAGATGCAGTTAAACAAAAAGGGCAAATTGGTTTTTGACGACATAAAATAATGTACCTCCTTGAATTAGTTCGATCTACACTAAAATCAGCTAAAATTTCCATGTGGTATTTTTTGATAGCTCTAACACACTCTTATTTTGTACGAAATATGTCTCCAACTTTCAAGGGCCCCTCGGTCTGCATATAAGGATTGTGAAAGATATCTGAGGCTGGCTCGTCTTCCTCCAAATTCAAGTTCGTCATGTGAAACGGGGGGTCGTACGCATGACTTATAGGTAGAGGTTCAAGCTCTTGATATATATCAGAATTATTGACCATAAAATCAGTCATTGCCTCGTCATCTTCTTCTTCTTGGTCAATAACATCGACTTCGGGGTGGTTGTCCTCATCAGATTCGTCCTCTTCTTCAAAATCTTGAGAAAGATCTACCACCTGAGATTGATCAGGTTGTTGAAATAAAACATATAGCTCAATCTCATTGAACCCAGATTGTTCATGAGTTCGAAACATGTTTCAAACATCATAATCATCGCACACCTTTAGTTGATAAAATATGACTTGGTTGTTGTCAAATAGAAATGGAGACTTGTAAAGAATTTGGTAAATTGGACCACACTGTAATTTTGCTTCTAGTCTATCTTTGAAGCGTGCAAAACTTGATTTCTTATTTGTCTGAAAGCGGACAAAATCGGTATTATGGAAATTAAAACTGAATTTATCGCAATTGAACGTCTCGCCTTTAATATGAGCAACAATAGTATAATATTGTGAATGATTCATCTATTGAGGTTTGTTTTTTGTGAGTTATGGATGTATACCAGTAATTAGGGGTGGCAAAGCGGACGGCCCGCCCCATTTAGGCACGCACTGTTTAAGCTCGTCCTAAAGTGGGGCGGGACGGGGCGGGCCAACGTAGGGGTCCGAGCTCAAAAGTCAAGCCCGTCCCGTTTGCTAACGAGTTAGCGGGTTGGCGGGCCGGCCCGCCAATGTTTTATTTTTTTAATTTTACAATTTGATTTAATACATAATTTAGAAAAAATTTAATTATTACCAAAGAGGTCGATAAAGAATTTTTTTTTAACAACGCATATAGAACTTCAAGATGTCTTAAGTCCAAACAATTCAAAAAATTTAATAAATAAAGATCAATTACAACAAAAAAACAAAATAAACTCAATCACAATAAAGAATATCAAAATAAATAAATAATACATATCATCCTAATCCTATTTAAAAACTAACTACTAAAAGAACATAATTTAGAATTTACACAAAACCAACAATGATAACAATAAGATTACATAAAACATTACAATACATAAAATATCAACACCGAACTTTCTCACTATTTACATTATATAGACTCTTATATTGACCGATTCTTTAATAGTTAAATCCTAAATTTGTCACACGTATACACTAATCAAATCCTTCCTTTTCATAACATCAACATCTATTTCTAAAGAAAACATCTGAGCTAATATATTGAAAACTTAATAATTATGCATGTCATACATTTATTCTTTTATTTTAATCATTTTCAATCAACGCACGTATTAGAAAGTTATAGAAAGAACATTACAATTATAATTCAATTTGTCTGTATAATAATTTATAATACAATCCTAAGAGATAAGTATTGTTTTTATAATTAAAGTTGTTTTAATTCTTAATAAAAAGAGTAAAAGTTTTAACAAAAAATCCGCGGGGGAGACCCGCCCCGCCTCGCCTCGACCCGCTTTTTTAAGCGGATTGGGCGGGCCAACTTAAGGTACCGAGCCGAAAACCTCAGCCCAGCCCACCAAAAATGGCAGGTCAAACGGGCCAACCCGGCTGCTCAACCCGTTTTTCCACCCCCTACCAGTAATGCACCCTAAACAGACGCTTAAATAAACTGATGAAAGTATGGGGTGTATTTTTTATTTTGTAAGCATGTGCCACCTAGGGTGGCTTATCCTTTTTATTT